TTAAATGTATAATGAAATGATACTTCGATGATATTTTTCTTTCATCATATTACAGTTTGTTCTCGTTTAAGTACGTGTAATGTTTGTTTTCGGTGGGCCTTTTTTTTACTTCAGTACTTCAGGGGTGTTATTGTGTACGTTTTTATAGGTGCGGTGTTGAAATGGGTTTCTTTGTATAACAGAGAGCATAAAAAGAATAGGCCTATCATAACACTGTAATTTAGTTATAAATTTAGAAAATTAAAATATAAATATTTTATTAAGGAATGACTTTTTTATTAGTTTAATATAATTGTGTTATTCCTGTTTAAAATGGTTGGAATATTTGAATTTGAATTTTGATTTGTTGGTCAAACACGCTGGTAAAAACATGTTCAAATATTTGGCTGAGAGTAGGCCTACATACTGAACATTGTCTAAACATGTTTAAAAATATGATATACACAACATTCAAAAATGTTTAAAAGTGTAATATAGGCCTACAACATACACAAAGGCACAAAGATAAAAACGAACCGCAAATAAGCCGTAAAGATGTTCATAAGTTTGAACGGTTTTAATATCCGAAAACTTTTATGATATCAAAGCTGGTAAAAATATTTAAAATACCGATGTTGAGACATTAAAATACTGTAAAGATAAACTTTTTTGATTGAAAAATTAAAACCAATTTAAAATGTAAACAGCTAACATTAATTCAACATTAAATTTAATTTACGTCTTCCACGATGCGTTAAATTTTCTGATGGAGATTTCCTAATAATTTCTGTGTACCACTGCGTAAAGATTATGCGACCTGTTCTACTAAACTTAAGATATTGGTGGAGTGGATGGTTAGTGTTTGACATGATTACCTTAAATTTATTGTTGAGTGCATTGTTTACAACATTTGGTTCTTTAACATCCTCTCCAATTACGCTCTTGGCAATTTTATTAATTCTATTGATTTTCGTCATGTTTATTTGACTTAAAATATTGTACCAGACTATAGCACAGAAAAATGAACACTGATAAGATAACAGATTCATAGAATAACGTCATTAGTTTATTACAAACATGGAATTTTGTCATTCTTCTTCGAAATTATAAATTTCAAGCCTAAGTTATTGGAAAGTGAAAATACAGCACTGTTCGAGTCAAGATAAACATGATTTTTAGTAATTGCCTTTTAAAGTCATTTGTGCACACATTGTTTAATATAATTAAACATTAAAATAACGATATTTAAACGATTTATTGACCACTTCTAGCACTAATAATTTGGGACATGATTAATAAGGCATTAAACTGTTGATCTATAGTGAAAAGCAATTTTGGATTTTTAGCCTTTTTTTTAGCTCCCATATTATAGCTTATTTACTCAATAATGGCCTATGTGACAGCTTAACCATTTCGCCACGACATACCTTGCTTTATCTATGTGATCAAAACTGTTATGCAATAAAAAAGAAACAGAATCATCAACCCCTCTCTTAGAACGAAATGCAGTTGGCTACAGTCTATTTTATCGATAGTGTCTGAAAGAATATCATTTTTTTACAATTTTTCCAGACATTTTATCGGTATTGCAGTGAGTGCGATGGGTCTATAATCATTAACATGTAGGGTTCTTTTTCTTAGGAAAAGGATGCATTTGTGACTGTTTCCTCCATATTCTTGGAATATCGTTGGTTTTAAACGACCAGCTGTATAATTATAAAAAAAAATACATGAAGTAGTTCATTTCTGCCTCTTTAAAAACTTTTTCACCTACATTATCTGGACCACCTGCTTACAAGGATTGATTTTTTTTAAAATAATTGTACATTCGCTTTTTTGTTTAATGACATCTCCACTTCAGAAATATTTTCCCTAATGTTTGACTCCCCTAAATGTCGAACCTCAATAAAATCTTCGTTATATACTAATCAACATACAAACTGATGACAAATTAATATGTATTTTATTATAGGTAAATGACAATGATTGTAAACAACATATTGATATAAAATAACATATTGAAATAATAAATTATTAAATAATTCTGATAAATTTATTTACACAATGGTGTCTTAAACATTAGAATTTAACTTCTGATTAATGTTTTTATTATATATTACGTTATACAGTACAATTTTTATAAAATCTTTTAGCTTCGTTATTTATTGCAAAGATGACAAAAACTCTTTTTAGCAAAAGCTATGAAACGTAGTACTTAGGATGTTTCGATTTCTGACAAAGATCTTTATCAACTGACTACTAGATGGAATTGCATTCATGAACAAGCTGCAATTTCATCTAGCAGACAGTTAATATAGATCCTTAATATTAGAGATCGAAACCTCCTAGGTAAATACTCCATTTCTTACACTGGCTTTCAAAAAAAAAGGTTGTCATCTATTATTGTTAGTATTTTAATAATATCAATACCAATCTTAACCTATTTAAATTTATTTTTATTGTCCTTTGTAATATTAAAGCGCTTAATAATTCTAAAATATTATTGTCATTGTTAATTTAAATGCTTGCTTGTTTGCAAAAATATTAAAAACTGGTATAAAATACAACACGAAGGTGATGAAAAAACTTGAACAAATTATAATAGAAAGAAATATTGTACTGTACTTTTTTTTAATAAGATTCTTTGAATTAAAATGCTTGTTTGTTCATTCGAATTCTATTATTGTTAACACAATTCTCTTAGATATCCGTCGCTTTAGGCCAGTTGATGATGTCACTATCCAGTCATTTGAGTCTTTCTCCTCACATGACGTATAGTTTTAGGTTTCCACAGTGGGAGGCATCTGACAGCGAAGCATCTATTCTTTGCAGAAATGATGTATGTCATCCCCAATCGGTTCTAACGCGATTGAGGCGGACCCATGCCTGACATGGAGATTGTTGGCTGTCCATGATTTTGACAATGGTTGAGAAGTCGCTTAGCCTAAAATGTAAGGTGCTTGCAATAGATTGTGCTACTAATTTTGTCGTCGTTAATACATGGTACAAAGCTGCATTTTGTGCGTCCCTTTTGCTGGTAATTTCAGTCATAAATTTCACGGCGTATGTTGTGCAGAATAATTCCAGATAAAATAGCGAGGTCTCTATCAGATGTTGTGGTGATTGTGCCAGAGATGAGACGCATTGCATCATTGTATCTGCTTTTGTATTTACACTGTGACTTCAAACTTGCGCTGCATACTCGCCTGTAGAGAAAACTAATACCAGGGCAGATTTACATAAGGTGGTTTAATTAGCATCCCATTTTGTGCCTGTAAGCTTCTGGAGTATGTTAACAAACTCTCTGGTCTTCGCTGAAACTCTTTTTACATGATATGTTAGACCTAATTCCAGAATTGCGACAAAGTAAGTTTCAGATGTATCAAAGCAAGTTTTGCACTAGTAAGCTTGTGATAATTTTAGTTTTGGCGAGATGGAAGACAGAGCTGACTGTTTTATGATCACTAAGTTTTAGGTGCCATGATATGAAATATGAGCTGTGGATCTTGAGGTCTGCTTGGAGCGTGGTCTCAATAGCTTAGAACGATTTATTGACATGGCCAGGGTCATCAGCAGCTGTACTTTAGCGAGACAGTATCAGGTAGGTATAAAGTGTACGTATCAAAAGCTATTAGTGCTACTACATAGTTCAGTGGAAAGCCATTTCCCGACGGCACTCTAGGGACAAATTTTTCGGTCTGCCACAACGGTAAAAAATTAATCGTCCTATTTCGTCCATCCGAAAAAAAGGTAATTAGTACAAAGGTGTGTTTGATCGTTTTCGGATTTTCTACTTTTTCTAGCAGCTGAGACAAGGTATGCTCTGGTTTTTATCCGATCCTGTGCACCATTGCCCTGTGCAGCTCTTACACGGTATGCACTTTTTTCTCGTCCCCGCTGCTGCTGAATCTTATGGAAACAATCTACTTATATAGCAGCTGTTATGGCTTTGTCCAAGATCTTAGAGCAAGCCCTGAAAATAACCTCTCGTGTCACATGATCTTCTACTGCGTTTATGAATTGTCCCTTAGCCATTCGTCCTCGCTGGTCCTCCAGGAGATCTGGGTACGCCCGAAAAATGAGCTCACTTACAGCTTGGTCTAATTGCTGCAAGGTTTTCCTTGTTTTTTGTTTCCTTAACCACAACTCTATTAGGAAATTCTCTGGCTGCTGAGCTGTTCCAAACCACTTCTCTAATGCCCTACTAGCTGTTTAATTGTGTACTGTTTGTCTGCAAAATTACTCAAAACGCCTGTAACATAGCAGCCTGTTCATTGTTCCAAGCATTTGCTGCCCTACACGACTCGAAATGTACTCTGTACTCTCGCCAGGGTACCATTTCTTCGCATCAGTCCAGGTTCACTACTGGTTTACGCTGCATCTGTGGCCCATAAATCGCGTTCTGTCGTAACAACGGCCACGGAGGGAAGAGGCTTTTCAAGGCGCGTAAAAAAAGGTTTATTGTAAGAAAAAGGAATATTTTTTAAATAAAGACTACAAGCATTTCGGATAGAAACAGGAAGATTTTTTCACCGTTTTGGAGCAGAAGAAGAGAAAGATTTATCACCAACAAGTTAAACAACAACATGCAGAAGATAAAATTAGAATTGAAGTACAGCAGTGTGTGCAAAGGTTGAATTTGATTGGTTCATGTAAAGAATGATTTTCATTGGCTGAGAGTGATAATGGTGACTTGATTATTTTTTGAATGACGCCATGTGCGGGTATGGTGACTTGAATATCCCGGTAGAATGTAAACAGGAATATAATGAGTTTGATTTGCTCATGTAAAGAACGATTTTCATTGGTTGAGAGCGATTACGTGTTTGGTTTTTTTTAATAGTCCGGATCAAAACGAGAATAATAATAAAAATATTGATGACAAAAATAATAATAATGATTATGTTAATAATATTGGTATAAAACGTAAGTGAGGTCATATAATTTCTGTCTCTTATACACATCTTACAGGAGAATTAAGAAAGATAACGAAAATGAATAGATAAGGTTACATAAGAAAGAAAAAATGAAAAGAAAAAGTCACATGAGAAATAACTAAAAAAGAAAGATAAGGTAACATGGGAAAGGAATAGACAAAAAAAAAATAAAAATATATATAAGGAAACAAGGAACACATCAGAAAGGTAAGGTAAGTAATTTTTTGATGAACATAAGATGCAATGAAATAAAATGCAAAATATTTCCAGGAAAAACTGACAAGTTAATATATGATAAAAAGGATGGTATTATTTTGAGAAAATGAAAAGGTTGGTAGTAGTAGTGTATACCACTTGAGGTGGTTTATGGTTGTTTATTGGGTATGAAACTGTTTATTTAATTATGACGATGGTAGTTGGTAAATATTGGTGATATAGTTGTCATCAAGATACAAGGATAATTTCCCGCTAGACGTGCACTAGTGCCTTCTTTGACGAAAGAAATAATTTCATTTTCTTTTAGTGTATGTGTGTGTGTGTGTGTGGTACAAATGAGGTAAGGTCGAAGTCCTCCTTTGAAATGTTTTCTTCCTTCAGAGTTTTTTTGTAAGATCGGATGACATAGTCTAAGCAGGATTTTACGATTAGCAAAAATGGGGCCTTAATAAATGTTACTGTGTACTTTATTTATCAGTATCAGGTGATATTAGTATGTTTGCTGTCAATTTACACAGTCCATAAGACTTCAGATAATGATTCAGAGCAGGAAAATGAACCAGACTATTAAATAGTAGTATTATTATCCTTTAAAAAATATACATCTTATAATGTAAACGAAATAATTTTTGTTTAAATTTTTTATAGATAATAAATTCAGTGCATTAAAAATGGTTCTTTCAAAGTGGTATGATGATAACAAAGGTCTTCCTATGTTGAAAGTGTTGTTCAGAGATGTCCTTGGAACTTCGAAACTGTCAACAATAACTCACACGATGGAGATAATAGATTACTTGGTTGAAAAGCGTCATTTGACTCCAAGCAATTTTAATATCATAAGTGATATCATTACCTTAACCAGACATTATGGTCTTCAAGAATTAATTAGAAGCATTTTCCCGTCATTCCCGGAAGAAAGGAAAGAAACTTTTACACAAATGTTTTCACCTCACAGACAGCGAATAATGAAATTTGGGATGATACTGACACCATCCGATGTGAGGCTCATTGATAATTTATATAATATTCCTAGTATGGAATATACAGACACATGGAGTATGATCAGTGATCTAGAGGACAGAACAATCATCAACGATCGTATGGGGAAATTCATTCGTTCATTGGAAAATCTTAATCTCCGTCTGGCATTAAATGCACTAACAGAAGGTACAGGTATTTGTTGGCTTTTTCTGTTGTATATCCCATATTTGAATAAATACAAGTATAACCAGAATGTAGGGACATGGCTACTCTGAAAATTTACACTACCAGCGCATGCAGTTTTTTGTATTTTAAAAGTTATTAATTAACGGGAATGTGTCTGCTGGGCCGATAATAGGGCACTATCAACTGATACACCGGGTACAAAATACCCGATGATGGCGTATGCCTATAATATTATTACGTCTACTTTTATTTCTGATGAGAATTTTAAAACTACATAATTAAGTCAACAATATTATATTACTAAATTTAAACAATATTTTGCTCAGTACCGAAAACCTTAAAAACAACAAGTAAAATTTCCCTAACAGGGACCTTCTGTTCTATGCACACGCCTTAACATATTGGACCACAAAAGAGCTCAGTTGGGAATATAAATCAGATTGGAAGTATATAAATATTTACATTCCTTTTGCACACTTGCATTCTTGGAATAGCACTAGTCTTCGTTGCACTGTTATTAACAGAGAATATACTATACCGTACACATTATTAAAAAAATCAATTTGTGTTGATGTAATTTATAATTTAATAAACAAAAACAAGAATATATTCTTTTTATTTAAGGAACAAAATCGGCTTTGGCATCTAAGCCTAAACTTCCGGATACTCCACAAGTTCAAGGGTCGTACCAGATGCCAGGTTAGTTATTCCGCATAACCAACTTGAGTCATTAAATTTTATTTTTTGAAAAACAAAAGTGTGCTACACTGGAAGAGACATTATTTGTCTATTCAAATACATTACCCATGAAACCAAATACTAAAACACATTTTAGGGCTTTATAGTTTAATATCTCCAAAACAGCAAATTGATAATTATGTCCTTTTGCAATGGGTCGGCAGTTATAGTGTAATAGTATAAATATGTTTTAATTCAAAACACATAAAATAAATATTTAATGTCCACTTATTCAATTTTTTTTTTAAAGAAATGTCTCCATCGCAATTCAATCAACTGCTTAGAGAGGTTTCCAGGTGGTGGCAACTTCATGGAAACGTGAATATGTTGAATGTAATACTTAGCGAATTTAAAGTTATTCCTGTAGTACTGATGGAGGAGAAACATGAGCCACGTGCTCTCTTCAAACATCTTGAAGCCATTGGGCTTATCAGCAAAGCAAACGTTGATATCATCATCGAAACCATTGTTTTGGGTGGCCATTTCAGCCTAGAACGGGTGATCCAAAAATCGATACCGACATTTCCGGAATTGAGAAAAGTTGAAATCAAAAAATTTTCCAAGTATCGACAAAATGTGCTCAACTTTGGTAAGGTTATAGATAAAAATGACATGCAAACCATTGGTTTCTTGTATGACCTTTACATGCCCGAACTGAAGGACCCGTGGTGTTTAATATTTCAATTGGAAAAGGATGGTATTCTAACTGATGACCTACATGCAAAGCAAGCATTTATTGACAAACTTATGAAAAATAAAATGAAAGCTGAAGCCCGAGCACTGAACAAATTTTAAAATGATAAGGAGATTATGAACAAGAAAGAACAAGGAAAGAAAGTGAAGGTAACATGAGAAAGAAAAGAGAAAGAAAAGATAAGGAAACATAAGAAAGACAAAGAACAGGAAACTTAAGAAATATGATGAAAAAGGAATGGATAATGAATCATAAGAAAGAAAAATGAAAGAATAGAAAAGGTCACATGAGAAAGAACAAGGAAAGAAATCTGAGAAAATCGTTATTATTATTATATTATTATTATTATGACAATTATTGAAATAAAGAAAGAAACAAAAACATTATTCGGCAAATCCGCTTAACGTCCTCACATGCGCGTATGAATTTTATAAAGAAAGATAAGGCAGCATAAGAAAGACAAAGAAAAGAAAAGTACAGGAGAATTAAGAAAGATAACGAAAATGAATAGATAAGGTTACATAAGAAAGAAAAAATGAAAAGAAAAAGT